ACATAAACAAAAAGTAGTTTAATATAATTTTGAATGTAAGACACTAAAACCTTGTGTCATGTGCAGTAAAGGGTACCGTGCTAATAGGGTAAAGTTTGTTTGTTTTGAATTTCGTGCAAAGCTACACAAGGGCTATCTGCGCTAGCCGTCCATAATTTAGCAGTGTAAGACTAGAGGGAAGGCAGCTTGTCATCACCACCCACCGCCTACTCTTGGGCTACTCTTTTACCAACGAATAGTGGGATTGAAAGGGCGAGCATGTTTGGTGGAATGGGGATTCGAACCCGCGACCCGCACACTGCGAGTCGAGCACCCTAACTACCTAGCCATGCCGGGCCAATAGGGTTAAGAAACATACAACTGAGTTCAATACAAAACCCCAAATTGAACTTTTTTTTTTTGCTGTTTACGTCATCAAGTTCATTTCTACACTTCGACTACAGATCGGTCAAGACAGGAACCACCTACATCATCTACCAACAAAAGTAAGTCATTTCTTTCTCAGCTACAGAAACAAACCAACATGTGGACTCCTCCATCTGGGAAATTTATTCCTCTTGATTAGTATGTAGAGAAATGTCGATAGAAAACTTACAATTTGGATTTCACAACTACGACATCTGTTAGAAATCTCACTGAAAATCAAGAAACAGCTTTACATAATCTTCATTCCCACGACAAAATTGTAATTAAACAAGCTGACAAAGGAGGAGCAGTGATTGTTTGGAAGAAAGAACTTTATCTTCAGGAAGCTCACTGACAACTATCAGACCAATTGTCCTATGCTATCTGTGATAACTACCCTCTTGATGATTATCAACAGACTGTCTGTTCTACTTAATATTTACTTGATATTCACACTTACTCTTGTGCACACAGAAGATAATCTGTGAGAAAGATCCACCATATGAAATCATATAAGTTACCTGAGATACATTCCTTTGCTAGAATCTTCAGAATATCTATTGCTCTACAGGACTTCTGCATAAAAGCTGTAGCAAACTGCTGGTCTTTGAGAAGAACTGCCAGGACCTGACAGGCTCTGGAAAATCACACAACAACAAAAACAACAATGTCAGTACATGTTACCAAAAGGTAACAAAGACTTTTGTATTTTTACCAGAATGTAAAGCACATTGGAGAAAATGTATATATTTTTCAAAGAATATTTAATTCCACCTGATCTACATAGAGGATAGAAAATTAAAAACAGCATATTTTATTATATTAATGTCTACTTTATTCCTGCAAAGATAGCTTTTCAGCAAATCAAATTTTCATCTTTTAAGATAATAGATTGATCTAGATATCCTTTACATTTCATCTAAACATAAACCCAAGCTGTTGAGTTTTAGTTTCTTTTAACTATCTTTTTGAAAGCTTCTAAATGTTTTACAATACTTTGAAAATAATGCTAACATGTGCACTAAAAGAAGCCATAATAATCCTGTATTTTTGAAATGTTACATTGCTGTATTGATAAACTGTTTACTAACATCAATTCAACATATTTCAAGAACATTTTAATATTTCTAATATACAATTAAGCATTTTAAAACAATTTAACAGTAAACATAATATGTTGAAACTTCTAGTCAGACTTCTGTTTTTGTGACTGGGGCTTACAGAAGATATTTTAAATAACTTTTACAAAAGAAGAAACTCAATCTGAGCACTTTCAGATGACAGACTTTCTATTTTTAGGGGTGAATTTCAAGAAGGAAGGACCACAGTCAGGTTTTTAGCTTTCTTGTTTTGTAATTTATCTAATTTTAGATCCTTAGTCATTTCTTAGTATCTTAAATAAATGTTATTTGTTCAGCTAGAACTTGGAAATAGAATCACTATGACAGAACTGAAAGATTGAAAGTTATAATTTTCCTATACAGAAAATGTATTTCTGATAGGTACTTCCCTCTTCTCACAAGATTAGCTATTCTAGTCCAGTGTTACAAGTGAATAATTGTTTGTTTGTTTTGTAATTAAGCTTAAAAGTGAGTAATTGTTTGTTTGTTTTGTAATTAAGCTTAAAAGTGAGTAATTGTTTTGTAATTAAGCTTAAACTAAGTAATTGTTTGTTTG